TTGGGTTTCAGACAGTCCGGTGCCCGGTGTCCGGTCCCCTTATCTGGATGGAGGCCCCTGGGGCAAAAATCAAAAGAAAAAAGGGGCGGCCCAGGACGTTTCTCGGGTCCTAGTGGCCCCTCGAAAAATAACGGGGTGATTTTTAAGTGTCCTTTCACCCACCGGACATGGCCTAGAGGTCCGGACACAAGACACTGCAGGTTTTTGAGGTGGCAGGTTTCGCACAAGCCCGGACAATTTCAAAGCGGCCGTTTCGACGTGGCGCCCGCCGCTCCCGCCCGTTGGGAGGAGAGAGAGAGAGAGAGAGAGCACTGTCAGTGCTGCCAGTGCTGTCAGTCTGAAGACTCCGACGTTCTGAATTGAACTGCAAAGTTTGAACTTTTAAGTTATATATAAAGTTATGAACTTAAATTACTAAATCCAAAGTTCAAAGTTCAAAGTTAATCGTACTTTTTTCAAAAAAAAAATCTTTGTTTCTCTAGTCTTGTGCCTGCTTTGCACTGTTTGCAACTCTGCATGTCTGCTAGTTAAATGTGCTGGCTGATTTTCCGCAAGACACGTGCTTTGCTGCCTGAACTACAGAGTGCAAAGCAGGTAAGTGCCTGCCAACACCCCCACCCAACATTCCCCCCAACCCCGTTTTTTTTTTTTTTTTTTTTTTTTTTTTTTTTTTTTTTTTTTAATCCGGACATTTTTGCACCCCGGGGACCGGTCTGGACTGTCCGACGTCCAGTGATGTTCGGATCACCGGACAGTGCGGACCGGTCCAGACACTGGTCCGGAAGACAGTCCGAAAGTGTCCGGTGTCCGGGTCCGGGGTTACCATGCAAAAAATGTAAGAGGAAAGAAAGAAAGAAAATGGGGAGAAGTTAAAGAAGAAGTGAAGGTACCAGACGTCGATTGAAGAAATGGTGGATCTGTAAAATTTATTAAACAAACTTCTGGAGGGACATAACGAGTTGTTGAATCTGAAGGAGATTTTGACAACAACACAAAAAATCAGAGAATAAGTAAAGGCGAAGTTGACACGGAAGAGGGTAGCGACGGTGAGATTGAAAGATTTAATTCCAAAGGGAGCGAATTAGACAATCGCTGAAAGCAAGATGGACTGGAAGTCTGTAGTGACTGGGCCCATTGATGTCAATATCAAAAGAAAAGGGTGCCTTAGGATGGTGGATACTGAGGCGGAAATGAACATTATGAATTCAGAAACGGTTGAATGACTAGGGTTGAAAATCGACACAGGAGATTGTGAGTATCTCAATGTGGTCAGTGGAAAGTCAGGGTACACGGATATTGCATCAAATGTGATCGTGGAAGTAGGACGAGTCAAGGTCCGCTCCCGCTTCTACATCATGCATAGCGTGAATCTTCTCATATTATTAGGAAGGTCCTTCTTATCACGATCGAATGTCCTCATCCTGAACAAGCATGACGGGACCATGTTCGTGATTTTATGTGACCCTGCATGTGGGAACTTCGAAGTCATTACCTGTAAAAATGCAGGTCCCCATAGTTCGAAAAATCGCCTCAATACTGGGTCATATGCCTGTGAGGAATCTGAGGATAGAAGGAAGGAATCAGAATGAGGATCAGACGAGGAAGATGAAAAATAAGAAAATAAGGGGTTAGCTTTGAGCTTGACTAACATTGACCAAGCAATGTATACGGTGTTCGCTTATGAGACGGCGTGGCCGGAGACAATTCGAGCATTGGCTAATAAGTTGTATGATTACCCTGAAGGGCCCTGAAGGGGGGAGAATGAATTTGGTATACAGACCGCCGCCTCAAGAAAAAAGAATGCAGGGACCGTATGCTCAGGCTAGCGGCCAACATTTTTAAGGGTAGGCTCAAGCAAGGAGGAAAAAGGAGGTACAAGACATCAGACAACAAAAGTCATCCGGTTTCAGTCTTAGTAACGCATGAAGAAGGAGTGTACCTATGCCGTACCCCTGTTCACCGTTCATGGGGTCTGTGACCGGAGACCGGTCATGGAGTTCATGACACAGGAGTTCATTGAGTTCACGGAGAGCGTTTTTTTTTTTTTTTTTTTTTTTTTTTTTTTTTTTTTTTTTTTTTCCGCTGGGGGTTATGTTTTTTTTTTTAATAGGAGGGTGGGGGTCATCGAAAGGTAACCCCCCACATTTTTTTTATTTTTTTTCCTCAAATATTTTTTTTTTTTAATTAAAAATGGAAAAAAAACAACCAGCCAAACTAAGTTTTTTTCGAACAACCGTTCACAGATTTTGGCCCCCGTGACCGGCCGGTCACGTTCAAGTGACCGGTGCCGGTCATGTTCACGGGACCGGCACAGGAGTGTACTATGAGCAAGAGAGGGCATTGATAGGGCAGATGAGAGAGGGATGAGAAACAGAGCCCTGCCGTAATAACGAAAAGACTCAGAAAGACTTGATCATTGGGGAGCCTGAGTTTTTAACCAAGCAAGAAAAGACGTTAGTGATCGACTTAATAAAAGATAAACATTGTACCTATGCTTTTAACGATGAGCAGAGAGGGAGATTGGATGTGGACAAGGTAGGGATGATCCGGATCCACATAGTTCCACACCAACCTTGGAATGTTAGAGGGGCCAGGTACCCAAACCCCGATGATTAGAGGAGAGTGGTGAAATACCTGGATGGAAAAATTGGCTCTCATATGACAATTTTTTCTAGCGGGCCTTATGCTTTGCCTTGGTTCTGTTTTGTCAAGCCAAATGGAGTTCTTAGATGGGTGCAGGTTTTTTACAGAGGTTGAATGCAGTGACT